AGTAAAGACAGTGAGTCATCCTGGAGGCCCAGAAGAACATTCCTGGGGAGGATGGGAGTCCCACTCAACTCCCAAATGAAATAGATGCAGGATTTCCCCTGACCAGACCCAACTGGGACCCTGAAACCGTGGCAGGTAGGGAGCATCTCCGTCTTTATCTCCAGACTCTGTTAATGGGTCTCAAAGGGGCCGGAAGGTGCCCAACCAATTTGGCAAAGGTACGTGCTATAACCCAGGGAGAAAATGAAACCCCGGCAGGGTTTCTAGAGTGCCTCATAGAGGGATATAGGATGTACACCCCTTTTGATCCCACAGCTCAGGAGTGTCAGGCAGACCTTATTATGGCCTTCATAGGGCAATCTGCTCCTGACATTCATGGCAAGCTTCAAAGGCTAGAAGGCCTTCATGGGTACTCCTTACAGGATTTAATAAGAGAAGCTGAGAAAATTTACAATAAGCGTGAGACATTAGAAGACAGAGAGGATAGAATTAGAAAAGAACAGGAAGCCAGGGAAGATAAGAGAGAGAAGAAGAGAAATAAAGAGTTAAGTCAAATTTTGGCCACAGTAGTCCAGGGGACAGGGCCAGGTAGGGACCTGGGAGGCAAAAGAAGACCTCGAGTAGATAAAGACCAGTGTGCCTATTGCAAAGAAAGAGGACATTGTCTGTCCAAAGAAGTTGAACAGACAAAAGAAGACAGCCCAAGTCCTGAAAAGAAGCAGCAGAAGCCAGTCCTCCCTGAGGATCAAGCCTCCTTAACCCTCCTTGATCCTCCACCTCCCTATCCACCTGCGCAGGCACCCCACCCCAGGAACTACCTCCACCCCAAGGACTACCTCATCCCTCTCCTGATTCCACCGAACCTGACCAATCTCCCCCTCCATCTAGCAGACTTCGCCTGAGAAGAGATAGAGGGGGTCCTTCTGGTGGAACCTGGACTGCCCAGGTTTTTCCCCTCCGAACTGTAGGGGATCAGATCCAATACTGGCCTTTCTCAGCCTCAGATTTGTATAATTGGAAGACTCATAACCCTTCTTTTTCTCAGGACCCTCAGGCTGCTTTCATTGAGTCTATTCTTCTTACCCACCAACCCACTTGGGAAGATTGCCAACAACTTCTCCAGGCACTCCTAACCACAGAGGAGAGACAGCGAGTCATCCTGGAAGCCCAGAAAAACATCCCCAGGCAGGATGGGAGACCTACTATGCTCCCAAATGAAATAGATGCAGGATTCCCTCTGACTAGACCCAACTGGGACCCTGAAACATTGGCAGGTAGGGAGCGTCTCCATCTTTATCGACAGCTTCTGTTAGCGGGTCTCAAAGGGGCCGGAAGGTGCCCAACCAATTTGGCAAAGGTACGTGCTATAACCCAGGGAGAAAATGAAACCCCCACAGGATTTTTAGAACATCTGATAGAGGGATATCAGATGTATACCCCTTTTGATCCCACAGCCCAGGAGCGTCAGGCGGATCTTATTATGGCCTTTATAGGACAATCAGCTCCTGATATCCGTGGTAAGCTCCAACGGCTGGAGGGCCTTCAGGGGTACTCTTTACAGGATTTAGTAAGAGAAGCTGAAAAAATCTACAATAAGCGAGAGACCTTAGAGGAAAGAGAGGACAGAATTAGAAAAGAACAGGAAGCCAGAAAAGATAAGAGAGAGAAAAAGAGAAACAAAGAGTTGAGTCAAATTTTGGCCACAGTAGTTCAGGGAACAGGACCGGGTAGGGACCTGGGAGACAAAAGAAGACCCCGAGTGGACAAAGATCAATGTGCTTACTGAAAGGAGAGACGACATTGGGCTCGAAAATGCCCAAAGAAGCTGAATAGACTTCAAAAAAAAGACAACCCCAGTCCTGACTCTAGGGGACTA